CCGAATTCCGCCAATCGAATCCTTTATTTTTGGACGTTCCGTTCTTGCTTCCGCATAAGATTATTGGGTCCCGTAACAAGTTCTACGGGGTTCGTATCAGTTGGTAACCAGAGCCAATTTCCAAGAAAAGGTTTCACCTATCCTTTTTTTTTCGTGTCTTTGTTTTGTTTTCGTTCTTCGGTTATTCGTATCTTCTCTATCTCATCTTTTCTTGAATTGTGTTGTCTAGTGTCTTCGTCAAAAAAAAAAAAAAAGAATTCGAATTTTGCTTTTCTTTAAAGTTACTTGCAGCCCACGTTAGGGTTTGTTAGCAAAAAAATAAAAAAAATAAAAAAAAAAAAGAAGAAGAAGAAGAAGAAGCAAAATTCGAAATCCAACCAAGGAAAATTCCTTGTAAGGAGTTTTAATAGATTTGGGCAACACAAATAGAGTTTTAATAGACTTGGGCAACTCCTTGAATTTCTTGTTTCCTTGTCTACCTTTCTCCTAATTCAATTCCACGTTGTGTTTCCTTTTCCTTTTGTTTCCTTTAACCATTAAATTCGAAATTCCTTTTATTTGCCTCCACATAATTTCTGAATTGATAAAATACTATTTTGCTTTGAATAAAAAAAAACGAAAATTCACTTAATATTTTCTCGATTAGTTTCTTTAGAACTTCGAAGGGAGTTTACGAGTGGAAAAAGGCAAGAGAGTGTGAGATCAAAAGAGGGTAAAAGCCTAATTGTGTGAAACACGAGTGAATTGAGTGAACATCATATTGAGTGATACACGTGAGGGAGTGGTGAGGAAAATCTATTTTTGTTTTTTCTTTAACAATATTTTGCAGTTCAAACATCATGTCAAGGAATGGGAGTGGTGATGAAAAGGGCGAAACCATGGAGCAGCACTTCCAACGTCTGCATACAACCATTCAAAGGATGCAAAATCAAATCGATGAGTTGAGTAGGGTAAGACCTGCACCGGCGCCACAACTGCGGCCACCTGTTCGTCAACCTGTTGTACGCCAACGTGACGAATTGGAGTTCGATGAACAATTCTTCGATGAAGAATCTGAGGCAGAGTCTAATACTTCTAGACGATGGCATAGAGGACGAGGGAACAGAGGTGGCAGATTTGACATACCAAGGCGAGGTAATGTGGGACGAGAAAGAGATGAAGTTGATCGAAACCTCAGCTCGATTAAATTGAGTATACCGTCTTTCCAAGGGAAGAGTGATCCCGAGGCATACATAGAATGGGAAAGAAAGGTTGAGCTCGTTTTCGATTGCCACAATTATTCCGAGGAAAAGAAGGTTAAGCTTGCAGCTGTTCACCGATTATGCTATCATTTGGTGGGATCAGTTGGTAGTGACTAGACGCAGAACCGGCGAACCACCAATTGTCGATTGGGAGTCTATGAAGGCACTTATGAGACGGAGGTTCGTGCCCTCACATTATTATAGAGACTTACATCTGAAATTGCAAAGCTTGAAGCAAGGTACTAAATCAGTCGAGGAGTACCATAAGGAGATGGAGATTGCAATGATTCGAGCCAATATTGAGGAGGATCGAGAGGCCACGATGGCAAGATTTATTTGCGGGCTGAACCGGGAGATCGCTCATGTAGTGGAGTTGCAGCACTACGTTGAGATTGAGGAGGTCGTTCATATGGCCATGAAAGTTGAGAGGCAGCTTAAGCGAGGAGGGAGAACTACAGCTCGAGCCGAGGTATCAAGCTGGAAACCGCGATGGAATCCTACATCGAAACCCGAGGAGAAATCGACAACAAAACCTTCCAATGAAAATCTAATCAACCGAGCACCACTTGAGAGAGGTAATAATTCGTCACAACCACAACGAACACGTGATATTAAATGCCATAGATGTCATGGAGCAGGTCATATCGCCATGGACTGCCCTAACCGGCGAGCTATGATTTTATTGGATAATGGCGAGCTGGAGTCCGAGGAAGAGGAAGAGTCAACTTCAAAAACAGCACCTATTGAAGGTGACGTGGTACAAGCTGTTGATGGACTCGCACTTGTTGTACTTCGAACTCTTCACGTGCAAGCTGAAGAAGATGGTGATGTAATACAGCGAGAGAACATCTTCTATACACGCTGCCATGTTCAAAACCGAGTATGTGGATTGATAATTGATGGAGGAAGTTGCGTGAATGTAGCGAGCAAGCTAATGGTAGACAAGCTAGGGCTGCAAGTCACCAAACATCCGAGACCTTACAAACTTCAGTGGCTGAATGAAAGTGGCGAGTTGAGAGTGACGAAACAAGTACTGATTTCCTTTAGTGTTGGACAATACAAAGATGAGGTGATGTGCGATGTTGTGCCCATGCAAGCAAGTCATATCTTACTTGGGCGACCTTGGCAATTTGATCGACGAACAGTCCATGATGGTTACAAAAATCGCTACACTTTTACTAAGGATGGCAGGCGAATCACACTTGCACCTTTACCACCTCGTCAGGTGTTTGAGGAGCAAAATCATATTAAGAAGTCCATTGCTGCAAGTTCAAAACAAAATGAGAATGAACGTGTTAGTAGTAGTGGAGAGGTAAAACAAGAGAGTTTAGCCGAAGTGAGAAAAGAAAAAGAAGAGAGTGCAGACTTAATAAAGAGAGATGAGAGAAAAGTAAGCTTTTATGCAAAAGAAAGAGAGATTAAGAGTGCATGTAAGGGTGAAAGAACAATGATGTTGTTAGTATTTAGGGAGTCCTATTTTTCTAATGCTAACCTTAATTCTTCTTTTCCTAGTATTGTTATTTCTCTTTTGCAGGAGTTTGATGATGTCTTTCCGGACGAGATGCCAACGGGGTTGCCACCAATTCGAGGGATCGAGCACCAAATTGATTTTATTCCAGGGTCCCAAATTCCAAATAGACCAGCTTACCGAAGTAGTCCCGAGGAGACGAAGGAGTTACAACGGCAAGTGGACGACCTGTTAGCTAAAGGACATGTTCGAGAAAGCATGAGTCCTTGTGCAGTGCCGGTTTTACTAGTACCAAAGAAGGATGGGAGTTGGAGAATGTGTGTTGATTGTCGAGCCATCAACAAAATTACGGTAAAGTATCGACACCCCATTCCTCGATTAGATGACATGTTAGATGAAGTACATGGTTCCATTATCTTCTCTAAAATTGATTTGAAAAGTGGTTATCACCAAATTCGCATGAAAGAGGGAGATGAGTGGAAAACTGCATTTAAAACTAAGCACGGATTGTATGAATGGTTAGTGATGCCTTTTGGTTTAACTAATGCACCAAGTACGTTTATGCGACTTATGAATCATGTTCTGCGATCTTATATAGGAAAGTTTGTTGTTGTTTACTTTGATGATATCTTAGTATATAGCAATAATTTGCATGATCATGTTGAGCATTTGAGGTGTGTCTTGGAGTCCTTACGGCGAGAACAATTATATGCTAATTTAAAGAAATGTGATTTCTGCCTAGATAGAATAGTTTTCCTTGGTTTTGTAGTGAGTTCTAGGGGCGTTGAAGTGGACGAGGAAAAGGTTAAGGCAATTCGTGAATGGCCAACACCCAAGAACGCATCCGTGCTGCGAAGCTTCCATGGCCTAGCGGGATTCTATAGGAGATTTGTACCGAACTTCAGCACAATTGCAGCACCTTTGACCGAGGTGATCAAGAAGGAGGTTGGCTTCAAGTGGGGTGAGACGCAAGAGAATGCATTTCACACTTTGAAAGATAAGCTAAGTTCCGCTCCTTTATTACTTTTACCAGACTTTTCTAAAACTTTTGAAATCGAATGTGATGCTTCTGGAATTGGTATTGGTGCAGTGCTTATGCAAGACAAACGACCTATCGCTTATTTCAGCGAGAAGCTCAATGGCGCAGCCTTGAAATACTCGACCTATGACAAAGAGCTCTACGCGTTGGTGCGAGCTTTGGAGACTTGGCAACATTACTTGTGGTCTAAGGAATTCGTTATACACACAGATCACGAATCGCTAAAGCATCTTAAGGGCCAAGGCAAGCTGAACCGAAGACATGCTCGGTGGGTAGAGTTTATCGAGATGTTTCCTTTTGTGATACAGTACAAACAAGGTAAAGATAATGTCGTAGCTGATGCACTATCTCCCAGGTATGTTCTCGTGTCGACCCTTAGTTCTAAATTCTTAGGTTTTGAGCATGTTAAGGAGCTGTACGTGAACGATCATGATTTTGCTACTATATTTGCTGCATGTCAAAAAGGAACTTTTGAAAAATTCTACAAGCATGATGATTATTTGTTTAGGGAAAACAAACTTTGCATGCCTAATTGTTCGCTTCGTGAATTACTTGTGCGAGAATCACATGGAGGTGGTTTAATGGGACATTTTGGTGTTTCTAAAACATTAGATATTTTAAAAGAACATTTCTTTTGGCCGCGTAGAAGCGAGATGTTGAGAGGATTTGTTCGAAGTGTCTAACATGTAGGCGAGCTAAATCTAGGGTTAAACCACATGGATTATATATGCCATTACCTGTTCCTACTCACCCTTGGACCGATGTATCAATGGATTTTGTTTTAGGGTTGCCGAGGTCTAGTCAAGGTCGAGATGCTGTTTTTGTTGTGGTAGATCGTTTTTCTAAAATGGCACACTTCATTCCATGTCATAAAACTGATGATGCTACGCATGTAGCAAATTTATTCTTTAGCGAAGTAGTGCGATTGCATGGGGTACCTCGTACAATTGTTAGTGATAGGGATGTTAAATTCCTTAGTCATTTTTGGCGTGTTTTGTGGGGTAAGTTAGGTACGACTTTACTCTTTTCTACTACTTGTCATCCACAAACCGATGGTCAAACCGAGGTAGTTAATCGAACTTTAGGTATGTTATTGCGAGCTGTTCTTAAAAGAAACCTAAAGTCATGGGAGGAATGTATTCCTTTTATTGAGTTCGCGTATAATAGATCTGTGCATTCTTCTACAAAGTTTTCACCTTTTGAGATTGTTTATGGTTTTAATCCGCTAACTCCTTTGGATTTGTTGCCTTAACCTGTTAATGAGATTTCTAGTCAAGATGGGAACCGTAAGGCTGAGTTAGTGAAGAAAATCCACGAAGAAGCACGCGAGCACATTGTGAGAAGGAATGACCAAGTTGCGAACCGAGCTAATAAGGGGCGAAAGCACCTTACCTTTCAGCAAGGAGATTGGGTTTGGGTTCATTTTCGAAAGGAAAGATTTCCCAATCAGCGGAGTTCAAAACTTAAGCCACGAGGAGATGGACCTTTCCAAGTGCTGGAAAAGATTAACGATAATGCCTATAAGATCGACCTTCCAAGTGAGTATCAAGTTAGTTCGACATTTAATGTTTCTGACCTATCTCCGTTTGATGTAGGTTCAGATTCGAGGACGAATCATTTTCAAGAGGGGGAGGATGATACGATCCATCCAATTACGCGAGGTAGTGCCGAGCTGGATGAAGGAGTTGATGACTTGGACGAGCTGCATGTGCCAAGAGGACCGATTACCCGAGCTCGGGCCAAGCGCATTGAAGCAGCCATGCTTAACTTAGTAGAACACGAGCTCCAAAAGGAAGAATTGACGAAGTCTAGTTCGATCCCAGCTGAGCTTAATTGGAGCGAATTATCGGGCCAAATTGTGAAGCAAGCCGAGCTCAAGGACTTGAGCCCGTCTAGTCATCCAGCCGAAGAAGACGTGACTTGGAAAAGATGATTATTATTAATTTTCGTATTTCATTATTGGACAATTTATTTCTTGTTATTTAGAGTCCGATTTGGATTAGATTTAGTTTATTTCGTTATTTCCTTATAATAGATAAGTTAGGATTTATTTTCCTTGTTAGATTAGGTCTCTTTGACACTTATAAATAGGTTGTTTTAGGTCATTATTATTTGAACGTTTTTAAGTATTATTTTGAGAGATTAAAATTCTCCTTCGTTGTTCTTCAACAACTCTTCGGGATATTTTGCGAGTGGATTCTTGTGAATTATTCTTAGCACTATAGTATTGGTTTCTGATTCATTATAATCACGGGGTCAGTACTTCCACCTTGATAATATTGGTTTCTAGCTCTCTATAGCTACGGGGTCAATATTCCGAATTCCGCCAATCGAATCCTTTATTTTTGGACGTTCCGTTCTTGCTTCCGCATAAGATTATTGGGTCCCGTAACAAGTTCTACGGGGTTCGTATCACTTTTGTACTTTTACTTATGTGCGTAACTCTTCTAGCGAGTGTTTTTGTGCGCGTTTCTTGATGCGCATTCATGTCCTCGAACGGTAGTACGTATTTTCATGATCGCTTTTGGAATCCAATTTTGACCATGTTCGAGTCCGAATTTGGAATTTTGCCATTAGACAGGAATTGTAGCCAGCTGAAATAGCTTTCCAATGCCGCCGGAACCAGTTGATTTGGAGTACGTATGAGAAAGTTATGCTCGACTTCGTGGAAACTACCAAAGATGTCCGGGGATTCTCTCTTCTAATTTTATTTTATTTTCCTAATTGCAACTCTTTTCTTACTCTTTGATCATTTTTGCTTCCTGGACACCTAATTTTCGACTTGTACCTATAAGATACCAAATCCACCAATTAATATAGAAATATAAATTAATCCGAAAAAATCCACCTAAACGTAAACGTAGAGTTTTACATCTACACTGCACTGTATCTTTTTTATCTAGTGTTTTTGCTGTTGTTTGTTGATGCGTATTAAAGTTCGAGTATTGTAGTTCGTGTTTTTGAGAACGTTGTTGGGAATGCACTTTTGCGCATGTTTTTTTACATATACATTTGTGCATGTCCATTTGAGCGAGTGTGCTTATGCATGTTTGTTGATTTGTATTAATGTCCTAGGATTGTAGTTTGTGTTTTCATGATCCTTTTTGCGAATCCACTTTTGCGTGAGTACTTTTGTGCATGCTTTTGTACTTTTACTTATGTGCGTAACTCTTCTAGCGAGTGTTTTTGTGCACAATTCTTGATGCGCATTCATGTCCTCGAGCGGTAGTACGTATTTTCATGATCGCTTTTGAATCTAATTTTGACCATGTTCGAGTCAGAATTTGGAATTTTGCCATTAGACAGGAATTGTAGCCAGCTGAAATAGCTTTCCAATGCCGCCGGAACCAGTTGATTTGGAGTACGTACGAGAAAGTTATGCTCGACTTCGTGGACACTACCAAAGATGTCCGGGGATTCTCTCTTCTAATTTGATTTTATTTTCCTAATTGCAACTCTTTTCTTACTCTTTGATCATTTTTGCTTCCTGGACACCTAATTTTCGACTTGTACCTTTAAGATACCAAATCCACCAATTAATATAGATATATAAATTAATCCAAAAAAAATCCACCTAAACGTAAACGTAGAGTTTTATTTCTACACTCCACTGTATCTTTTTTATCTAGTGTTTTTGCTGTTGTTTGTTGATGCGTATTACAGTCCGAGTATTGTAGTTCGTGTTTTGGAGAAGGTTGTTGCGAATGCACTTTTGCGCATGTTTTTTTACATGTACGTTTGTGCATGTCCATTTGAGCGAGTTTGTTTATGCATGTTTGTTGATTTGTATTAATGTCTTAGGATTGTAGTTTGTGTTTTCATGATCCTTTTTGCGAATCCACTTTTGCGTGAGTACCTTTGTGCATGCTTTTGTACTTTTACTTATGTGCGTAACTCTTCTAGCGAGTGTTTTTGTGCACAATTCTTGATCCGCATTCATGTCCTCGAACGGTAGTACGTATTTTCATGATCTTTTTTGGAATCCAATTTTGACCATGCTCGAGTCCGAATTTGGGATTTTGCCATTAGACAAGAATTGTAGCCAGCTGAAATAGCTTTCCAATGCCGCCGGAACCAGTTAATTTGGAGTACGTATGAGAAAGTTATGCTCGACTTCGTGGACACTACCAAAGATGTCCGGGGATTCTCTCTTCTAATTTTATTTTATTTTCCTAATTGCAACTCTTTTCTTACTCTTTGATCATTTTTGCTTCCTGGACACCTAATTTTCGACTTGGACCTATAAGATACCAAATCCACCAATTAATATAGAAATATAAATTAATCCAAAAAAAATCCACCTAAACGTAAACGTAGAGTTTTATTTCTACACTCCACTGTATCTTTTTTATCTAGTGGTTTTGCTGTTGTTTGTTGATGCGTATTAAAGTCCGAGTATTGTAGTTCGTGTTTTTAAGAACGTTGTTGCGAAGGCACTTTTGCGCATGTTTTTTTACATGTACGTTTGTGCATGTCCATTTGAGCGAGTGTGCTTATGCATGTTTGTTGATTTGTATTAATCTCCTAGGATTGTAGTTTGTGTTTTCATGATCCTTTTTGCGAATCCACTTTTGCGTGAGTACTTTTGTGCATGTTTTTGTACTTTTACTTATGTGCGTAACTCTTCTAGCGAGTGTTTTGTGTACGTTCGTGATGCGCATTCATGTCCTCGAACGGTAGTACGTATTTTCATTGTCGCTTTTGGAAACCAATTTTGACCATGTTCGAGTCCGAATTTGGAATTTTGCCATTAGACAGGAATTGTAGCCAGCTGAAAAACCTTTCCAATGCCGCCGGAACCAGTTGATTTGGAGTACGTATGAGAAAGTTATGCTCGACTTCGTGGACACTACCAAAGATGTTCGGGGATTCTCTCTTCTAATTTGATTTTATTTTCCCAATTGCAACTCTTTTCTTACTCTTTGATCATTTTTGCTTACTCGACACCTAATTTTCGACTTGTACCTATAAGATACCAAATCCACCAACTAATATAGAAATATAAATTAATCCAAAAAAAATTCACCTAAACGTAAACGTAGAGTTTTATTTCTACACTCAACTCTATCTTTTTTATCTAGTGGTTTTGCTGTTGTTTGTTGATGCGTATTAAAGTTCGAGTATTGTAGTTTGTGTTTTTAAGTACGTTGTTGCGAATGCACTTTTGCGCATGTTTTTTTACATGTACGTTTGTGCATGTCCATTTGAGCGAGTGTGCTTATGCATGTTTGTTGATTTGTATTAATGTCCTAGGATTGTAGTTTGTGTTTTCATGATCCTTTTTGCGAATCCACTTTTGCGTGAGTACTTTTGTGCATGTTTTTGTACTTTTACTTATGTGCGTAACTCTTCTAGCGAGTGTTTTTGTGCACGTTTCTTGATGCGCATTCATGTCCTCGAACGGTAGTACGTATTTTCATTATCGCTTTTGGAATCCAATTTTGACCATGTTCGAGTCCGAATTTGGAATTTTGCCATTAGACAGGAATCGTAGCCAGCTGAAAAAGCTTTCCAATGCCGCCGGAACTAGTTGATTTGGAGTACGTACGAGAAAGTTATGCTCGACTTCGTGGACACTACCAAAGATGTCCGGGGATTCTCTCTTCTAATTTGATTTTATTTTCCTAATTGCAACTCTTTTCTTACTCTTTGATCATTTTTGCTTCCTGGAAACCTAATTTTCGACTTGTACCTTTAAGATACCAAATCCACCAATTAATATAGATATATAAATTAATCCAAAAAAAATCCACCTAAACGTAAACGTAGAGTTTTATTTCTATACTCCATTGTATCTTTTTTATCTAGTGGTTTTGATGTTGTTTGTTGATGCGTATTAAAGTCCGATTATTGTAGTTCGTGTTTTTAAGAACGTTGTTGCGAATGCACTTTTGCGCATGTTTTTTTACATGTACGTTTGTGCATGTCCATTTGAGCGGGTGTGCTTATGCATGTTTGTTGATTTGTATTAAAGTCCTAGGATTGTAGTTTGTGTTTTCATGATCCTTTTTGCGAATCCACTTTTGCGTGAGTACTTTTGTGCATGCTTTTGTACTTTTACTTATGTGCGTAACTCTTCTACCGAGTGTTTTTGTGCACGTTTCTTGATGCGCATTCATGTCCTCGAACGGTAGTACGTATTTTCATTATCGCTTTTGGAATCCAATTTTGACCATGTTCGAGTCCGAATTTGGAATTTTGCCATTAGACAGGAATTGTAGCCAGCTGAAATAGCTTTCCAATGCCGCCGGAACCAGTTAATTTGGAGTACGTATGAGAAAGTTATGCTCGACTTCGGGACACTACCAAAGATGTCCGGGAT